TCGTCTTGGTGCCTCAATAATTGGTGGGTATTATATTATTTGTATTGCCTTTCGTCGTTCGTTTTGCTTTTGGCATCTATTAATGGTAGTATTGATATTAGAATCTCAAAATCAAAGCTTTGTCAATATTTTACAAGAATTTAAAAAATTATTTAATGATTGATTTATTACCAAATCTAATAATTCTATATAATTAGATCATGAAGATATAGATATTAAAGGTTATTATTATTTACTATTTTTTTTTTATTATTATTTTAATTATTATATATAATATATAAATACTAATATATTTTTTATTTAGTATTCACAAATTGAACATATTTTTAATATTAAATTAAAAAAAAGATTTGTTTACAAAATCTTGAAAAAAAAGTACTATATAAATAAATAATTCTGAATTTAGATCAGAATTATATCTTTTATACAGTGATTTTAAGCATATGGAAGCTCTCATTAATACAGTACTAAGCTTTATAAAGGTGTACTTTACAGAATTTTTCAATTTTGTAAAATATTTTTAATATATTATTATAATATGGGTTTTAAAAATTTGGTGCATTCGCACCGTGGTGCACCCCTAGTCACATAGTACAAATTGTATAAATTAATTTATCTTTTAATTAAGTAAAAATAAGTAAAAAAAAAATTATTACATATCCAAAACCATTGTACACAACAAATATTTTGAATCATCATGCAACATCTTAAAATGACACTAAATACCTAATCTAACTAACTAATCCTAACCAATTAATTCTAACCATCTAATGCTGCTCTTGACCCTAATCCAAATAGTACTAAAATAAATCTCTAATAAAAATGTAAGGCCGTTCAAAGTTGATTAGTTGTTTAATATCAACATTTTAAGTTTAAGCTCGGGAGGAGGAAAAATTTAAACAAACACATATACAACAGAATATTTGATTAAATGTCATTGGTCAACCTTAATTACATGATTATTGAAGATTATTCTGCATTGTGATTTGCTTGTTTAATTTCTGGAGGGACAGCTAACCAAGAGGGAAGATGACGTTAAATAACTATTTAACTTTGAATAGCATAATCAAACCACCCACAACATCCAATATCAAGGGTGATAGCACCTCTAACAATGACAAAATAGTATTCGCAAAAGTAATATAAATAATGATAGCACTAAACTGACACTAACAATGGTTATGAAAGAGAAGTGGGGAGGTTAGTTATGTGACAACAAGGAAAAAGCACCAAAGAAAAAACATGCACAAATCGAACAACAAAAGCCATTCAAAAACAACACAAATAATGCAACACCCACTTCTAATGGAAGCACTAAGACAATAGCTGTTGAAAGAAAAGTGGGAAGTTAGTTATATGGCAACGAGAAAAAGCACCAAATAAAATACAAGTGATGCCAAAAGCAAAACGAACGACGAAAGGCAATACAAATAATATAATACCCACCAATTATTGAGGCACCAAGACGA